CCTTCTTCAGGGCCCCGACTGTATGACCACCGACAGGAACACTCTACTGGAGTCAGGTCGGGCACGTCGTCCTACAGGCGGACTCTAGAGGAAAGTTTAAACATAGTCAAAAAAAAGACTCGAGAGCCATCGAAACAGATTCCTCCTGTAGAGGGACAGGCCCGACTCGACGCTGGAGGGCGTCCGTGTCTACACTCTGCAAAATGCTTAAGAAATCATGGGTTAAGAAACTCAGAGTCTCAGAATGTGTATAAAAACCCAGAACTTCTATCGAAATCTTAGGATTTACAATGAAACATCAAGAATCATAGAGACTCTGGCCAAAAACATAAGTTTTCTTAAGCATCGCCTAGGGTGTACATCTCTTCCTGTGGCGGCAGGCGGTGCGGCTGCAGCCCAGGTTCGCCCTCTGCCTGCGCGGCCTGCCCGCGAACGGGGGGGGGGCCAGGCTGCGGCCGCCGGCGCGGGCGGCGCCGCCCCCGCCCCCCCCCCCCCTGACTGCCCCACCACGAAGACCCCCCCCCCCCCCCCCCTGACTGCCCCACCACGAAGACATGTTGACGGCGCGCACAGCGGGGTGGAGGGAGGGGTGAGGATTTTCTTAGAAGGAGGCTGCTTCTTCTCAGAAGGCGCCGGCCTTACATCTGTAGATGACGCCCGCGCCTCGTAAGAAGCAGGGGTGCTTCTAAGAAGCCCTCCCCCCTCCCCACACCCCCCTTTTGCGCGTGGCTGAATATGGAGGACGAGAAAAACGCCAGAAACATACAGTTGAGGCCAGGCCACAGGAACCTTCCCACAAGAAACCCAACCCCGACCCCAGGACGACGTCCACCGATCTTTGGTGCGGGAACGTAGCGCTTTCCAGGGCGAAACCATCGAAACCCAAGGCAAGCAGGGCACACTGGAGGCAAGCAGCGTGTTTCTTGGCATGGGCCTCCGCTGTAAACGAAAACTCTCGAAGCTCCAAGCAGATTTCTTGGATCTGCGCTGGGAGCCCCTGGCAGCACCTCTGGCGCGGCCCCTGGCGCCAGAGGGTCGCGTCAGGGAGGGGGGCCCAGCGGAGATCCAAGGAGTCTGGGAGGAGTTCTTAAACATTCTGATTACAATGGAGGCCAGGCCACAAGAAACCTCCCACAAAAAGCCCAACCCTGAGACCCCAGGACGTCCGCTGAGTTTGGCGCGGGAACGTCGCCCTTTCCAGAGCAAAGCCAGCGAAACCCAAGGAACCCAGGGCACACTGGAGGCAAGCAGGGCGGTTCTTGGCACGGGCCTCCACTGCACGCCGTGCTTCTTATTATTATTGTTCTTATTAATATTATTATTATTCGTATTATTAGTATTATTATTATGATTATTACTATTAATGTTATTATTATCACGATTATTATTATTCTTACTATTATTATTATGGTTGGTCTTCTTCTTCTTCTTCGAGAGAGAGAGAGAGGGAAGAGGAGGGGGGTGAAAAGAAAGCCGCATCGATGTCACGCTGGTCGGACGACCCCCATCGGCGTGCTGGAGTTGAGAAGATGTGCCATGTAGGTTGACGGCCGGAGGGTCCAGCCTACTAGACTTGCCGTAGGCAGGGGAAGGCAAGGGAGAAGGTCGCGAGCCCTTTGTTCCTATGCGCCGCGGACGGGCGGCGCTGTACCTCATGCCAATACCCGAGCCCAGGCGTCGGCGGCAGGTAAGGATAGAAGGGTGTCACGAGCGGACTTCACGCACGGGAGAAGCATGGGGGCCCCCGTGCAGAAGGCGAGTGAGTAGCACGCACAACTTGACGGACGCCGCGGGTGTCGATGATGCTCCCGTACAATCGAAAACTCTGATAAAGGACGCGCGGTAAGGACGCGAGACCCTTGGAAGCCGAAGTTGGGATTTCTGGGGCGGCGGACGACGAAAACCTCAAGGACGACGCAAGAGCAAGGAAGAGCAAGGACGCAAGGGTACCCTGAGCAAAGTCGCGCGTCCTTATTAGGGTTTTTGACTATATTCCGAAGAGCGAAGAGCAACACAAACACAAAAGCTCGGAGGCCCGCGCGGATTTCTCGGATCGGCGCTGGGGCCCCCCCTCCCTGGCGCGCGGAGCGCGCCAAGGGCGGCGCCAGAGGCGCCGCCAGGGTGGTCCAGCGCGGATCCGAGAAATTCGCGCGAACCTCCGAGTTGTTATGCTTGTGTCATGCTTCGTTTCCAGGTGGTTGCTGACGATAGGAATGAGGGGAGGTGCCAAGGGAGGAGCAGGCGTACCATCCTTGCGGATGCCACCACAATGGACACCCTGACAGTCCTATCATTGAATTTGAATTTGTTTTCTAAATGTCAGAGGGATGTTCTAAACATGTTTGAAACATGTGTGTTACATGTTTAAAACATGTTGAACACAAGTTTTAGACATCTGGAAATGATTTGGCAACATGCCTCCTCTCCATTGATCGTCCTCCACAATACCATCCTGATGGAACAAAAACAAGCCCTGGGCCTCCAGGCTCCCCGAAGACCGCCTGCTCATCCCGAGCCGTCTGTCGGAGACAGGGGGCCCGGAGGGGCCCTTTTTGGGAGGCCGGAGCCGGGCTTCGTCCCCGACGTCCGACGGTGTGACTCCTTCAGTGCGTGCGGCTCCAGAGCCCCAGGCCCCTTGTCCTGGGGGGGAGGTTTTCGCCCCGGGAGATCCCTGAGATGGCCCCGTGGCCCAACGACGGGCCCCGGAGGCCGACGTCGACGAAAACTGCCTGGACTGGAACGATCGCATCGCTGGAAGTCTGGGCTCACGCGGGGCAGGCGAGGAGGGGGAGAAGTGCACGACGACCGTTCTGCCCCGCGCTGCCGGTAGATGAGGAGGTCGTCGTGTGTGACCACGACGACGCCGCCCTTGAACTCAGACAGGCCCTTCGCGAGGGCCTCGCAAGCCTCGGCATCCAGATGGTTGGTGGGCTCATCAAGGAACAGCATGTGCGAAGGGCGCAGCGACAGTGCCGCGAGCTTCAAGCGCGCCTTCTGCCCGCCGCTGAGGCTGCCGACAGGGACCGAAACCGCCAGGTCTCCCTCGAAGCCGAAGCTGCTGAGGACCCCTCGAGCGACCTCCTTGAGCCGCTTGTTGACAGCCGCAGACACGGTCTTGGCCTTGGACCCCCTGCGCTGGGCCGCCTTGGCCGCCGCCGCAGCTCTCACATCGAGGCGCTCGTGCAGCTGGTCGGAGCAAGTGGCCACCAAGAAATCGACGGCTGAGACGTCCCCGTGAGGCTCCAGCTCGTCCATCAGCTGGGAATAATAGCCGACCTGGAAGGGCAAACAGGAGCAGCGCGTGACGTTCGCCACCCTTCCCTGTGCGAAGGACATGAAAGCCCTGCCAAACCAGCACAGGCCAAGAAACCCTGATCATCCAGGCCAAGAGACCTGACATGCTGGCGCACTGCCCGGGCTGGCGGCCGACGCACGGGACCTCGCCTGGGACCCCCGGGCGAATGATACCTCAAGTCCTCCCACCCGCCAATAACCACCCTGGGGACCTTGATCACACAACACCCGCGTGCCCTTCCCAAAGAAGAAAAGGGAGGAGGGCAAGCCGAATCTACACCTTCACTCTCGTTCAAACCGCCGCAAGACCTGGCAGTCGGCCGTGCGGTCCACCATGCCCCTCGTCGGTCGCAGGGCCCCAGTGCACAGGCCCAAGAACGTCGACTTGCCACTGCCGTTGCGACCCAGCATCACTGCGCGGCTCTGCGTGCTGAAGCGGACTGCGCCATTCACCTTGATCTGCGGGGCAGCAGGGACGGAGTTGCAACAATCAGAGGGATGACTGAACTCGACATCGTGCACAGAGACACCATGGTGCTGCAGGCTGCCGTCAACCGGCACCGCGAAGGTGAAGTTCAAGCCCTTGCGCCTCTGCATGCGAGCAAGGTCCTCTTGCGAGACCAGATCCCGAGGCATCGACTCGATCTTCAAGTCTTTCATCCAGAAGATCTCGTGGCACACGGAGTGGAGGAAGCTGACGTCGTGAGACACGATGACAGTGGTGCTTGGGTAACCCTCAAGCTGCTCCTCGAACCAGCGCAGCGCCTCAAAATCCAGGTGGTTCGTCGGCTCGTCCAGTAGCAGCAGCTTGGGCTTGAGCCACAACGCCTTCGCGAGCTCCACTTTCATTCGCCAGCCTCCAGAGAGGTGCTGCATCGACGCGCAAACCGTGGGCCTCTGCGAGGGGCGACCACTCCACGTTCCACCACCGCCAGGGCCGCCTGCGCCTCCGGCATCGACAGGAGCCAGATCTGCATCCTGCGCCAACCTGCAGCGAAAGCCCAGGGCCACGAGGACGCGCTCCACCTCCTGGGCAGCGCATTCTCGCTGCGCCAAGTGACGCTGGACCTCTCGTCAAGGGTTGAACAACTTCTGATGTCCCTCGACTCGCGCTTGAGTGCCCACGATTTGCTTCAGATTCCCCAGGGGTTCCCGGGTTGTCTGTGTGTGCCTATGTTGCATCAAATGTACCTCGATGTATCTGGATGTGCCTCGATTAGTCTGGTTTGATCTCCTCAAGTTGGGCGCCTGAGTTATCCGGGGTAACTCGGGCCCGGGGTAACTCGGGTTCGGATTCCCGCGAAACGAACCCGAGTTAGCCCTTACCCGAGTTGCCCCTGATGATTCGGGGCTCTGGACGCCCGAATTATCCGGGGTAACTCGGGCCCGGGGCAACTCGGGTTCGGATTTCCGAAAAACAAAAAAAACCCGAGTTAGCCCTGACCCGAGATACCCCCGATGATTCGGGGCTCTGATCAAGTCGATCGGAGAGAAGTCGTTGAGCCCTCAGGGGACCTCGTCCAGCTTGTCACTCGCGCGCACGAATGCCTCGGCATCGCAGGCTGCCGTGCCGCCCACGAGCGTCGCCAGCTCGACCCTCAGCTCCGCCTGCGCCGCGAGGAGAGCGGCACGCTGGGCATCTGCGGAGAGGACTTCCTCGACGACTGTCCTAGGCAACGCTGGCGGCAAATGCTGCCCGACCAGAAAAGGTTCCCAGCCGGCAGGCCTCGGCACCTGGCCCTCGGCAATGAGCCTCAGGAGCGTGCTCTTCCCACAGCCATTGGGCCCGACCAAACCGTAGCAGGTGCCCCGGCGAACGAGCTTCGGCGCAGACCCTGCCTGGGGGACTTCGACGGTGCGGACGACCTCCGGGATCTTCAGCTCTGTGTTCGCGAGGAGGCACCTGCCGCCGAGGAACACCGACAGATCCTCGGCCTTCACCGCGTTGTTTGGCGCCAGGTTCGTCAGCGTCTCCACCCGGATCGCCCTCTCGAAACGATCCTCTTGAGGGGCTGGGGCCGTTGATGACACAGAGCCTGCCTGTGGGGGGGGCAGCAAGATGCCGAAGGCACTACTCTCCCGACCTGTCCTGCGGTGCGTCCGACCAAGACCCCGGGGCGAATCCAGCCGTGGCGACAAGGGCCCCTCGGGAGCCCCCGGCAGGCAAAAACGAGGGAAGGGCACCGGCATCGCCACGGCTTTCTCGCGGGGCTGCCTGCTGGCTAGCTGGGCCAGGAAGATCAGCCATGTGGAGCGGCGATGCAGAACCAAAAAACTCAACAGTCGGGCGCCCTGCACTGGGAAACCGCTGCGCGCCAGAGCTCGGGAAACTCGAGCCCAGAGGTGCCAGCAGCCAAAAGGCCGGATCAAGCATCGCCTGATCGGCAGATCGGATCGAACCGAAATTGCGGGCAAGATTCATGCCCATATCCAGTGCCTCTTAGACTTTTTTTTTGGAAGCGGCGCCACAAGGCCGAGGCGCACTGGATACGGATGAAAGTCGAGCCTCTAGGGGGCAAATTTACCCATATCCAGTGCGCCTCGGGTTTCTTGGGAAGGGAGCCCGAAACTCCATATTGAAGTGGATATGGACAGAAGTATTGCCCGCAGAAATGTGCATCGGATGCGGCTGCATCGGCACTGAGTCGGAATACGGAACCGCATCGGCCGCACCAGGACGCACCACGACGCCATGCAGGCATCGGGCCGCACTGGATCGCCAACACATCGGAATCGAACCGGATCGGGCAGGCCGCAACCGATGACGAGCTTGCCAGGAGGGGCCGATTGTCCACCTCGGAGAGGGAAGAGCAGGACGAGGAGGAGGAGGAGGAGGAGGAGGAGGAGGAGGAGGACGAGGAGGAGGAGGAGGAGGAGCAGCATGAGGAGGAAGAGGAGGAGGAGGAGGAGGCGCAGGAGGAGAGGCAGGAGGAGGAGGAGGAGCAGAAGGAGCAGGAGGGGCAGAAGGAGCAGTAGGAGGAGGAGGAGGAGCAGGAGGAGGAGCCCCCCATCGTCCCTCCTCCCCCCGTCCTGCCTGTGGTGGCCGAGGTGGCACGTGGGCCCGGCATGCCGTGCCCAGGGGCCCCAGCAGCACAGGGCACCCTGCAGGAGACGGGGTGACAGACGAGCGCCGGCTCCCGCTCCGCGCGAGAGCGCGCGCGCCGAGCACGAGGGCGGCGGCGCCGTGGCCCCCTCTCGGCGCGGCGAACGATTGGGGGGGGGGGAAATGAGGAGGAGGAGGCGGAGGAGGAGGGGGAGGAGGGGGAGGAGGGGGGGAGGAGGAGGAGGAGGAGGGGGGAGGAGGAGGAGGAGGAGGAGGGGGAGGAGGAGGGGGGGGGAGTGAGAAGGAGGAGGAGGGGGAGGAGGTGGAGGAGGAGGAGGGGGGGCAGTGAGAAGGAGCCCAGTCGTGGCCGAGGCTCGCCGTGGCGAGAGGAGCCCCCTGGTTCCTGGTGCAGCGTTCCCCCTGCGGCAGCACGAGGTCTGGCAGGAGGAGACCACATCATGGCGGGGGCGGCGGCGCCGTGGCCCCTCCTCCACCTCCTCCTCCTCCTCCTCCTCCTCTCCTCCCTCCTCCTTCCTCCTCCTCCTCCTCCTCCTCCTCCCCCTGAGCCCGAAGTATTGCTCCGGCGCGTTCCTTGTGGCAGCACGAGGTCTGCAGGAGGAGCCCACATCATGGCGGGGGCCACGGTGCCTCCCAGGATTTCCTTCGGCGGCGAGCGAGGGGGGGAAGTGAGAGGGAGGAGGCCTTCTCAGAAGGCGGCGGGACTTCCCAGGAGCCCTGGCGCCTTCCGAGAAGTTGTGTCATGCCTTCGGGGAAGGCTCAAAGAACTTCCCAGAAGGCCGGGGGACTTCCGAGCCTGCTGAGAAGGCCTTCTCCTTCTCATTTCCCCCCCTCGCTCGCCGCCGAGTTCGGGGGTCACTACAGTTCGGTGGCAAATCATGGGAGCCTCCCACGCCACCTTGCCAGCTCTTGCGATTCGATGCTGACCGACGCTCGTCGGGGCCAGTCGACGCTCATTGACGCTCCCTCGACGATGATCGGTGCTAGCTCGGCGCTGTCACATCGATTGCCAAACGTTGGCGCGCGCCCATGCGCTCTAGAGGCGGCAGCACGAGGACGCACAAAGCCCCCATGAATTGCGAACGAACCCCGGCGTGTAGGCACTCCCGGGCGGTCATGACGGAGGGCAGAGCAGGAGCGGACTGGGGATGTGGGCTGCTCCCCGCGGGATTCGAAGGGCATGTCCCCAGTTGGGGTACGAAGATCGTCGGGCTCAGGATGGGGATGGGATGGGGATGCAGGGGTCGAGAAAAACGAGACTGAACCACGCAGAGCAGAGCAGGAGTGAGCCGGAAGTGTCCGCGCCTCTCCATCCTCAGGGCGTGCCTCGTCCACTGTGGCGCCCCCCTGCGCCAAAGGTTCCCCCGAGGGCTATATGTTTCGGAGCGTGCTCGGAAATCAGGGGCGAGAGATCGACTGCGAGAGGCACCCGTCGCCGTCGCGACGCCGTCGCCGTCGCCGCCGCCGTCGCCGACGCCGTCGCCGCCGACGTCGTCGTCGTCGTCGCCGTCGCCGTCGCGGTCGCCGTCGCCGTCGCCGTCGCCGTCGCCGTCGCCATTGCCGTCGCCGTCGCCGTCGCCGTCGCCGTCGCCGTGGCCATTGCCGTCGCCGTCGCCGTCGTCGTTACCGCCGCCGCTGTTGAACTCTCACTATTGAAAAATAATTATTGGTCCCCCCTCCTCCAGGGCACAGGGTGTTTTTTCAATTGAAGTGCCCTTCCCAGGGCTCGCACCCCAGCTTTTATCGGGGAAAATCTTGGGTCCGAGAATTGTGTTGTCTGCGAACGGTTTACAACAACAGCGGCTCCCGCCTAATACGACTTCCTCACCAGTTATTCCCAAATTGCGTTCTCGCTTGGGACTTCCTCACAATGTACGCAAGCATCGCGCCATCGTGTGGGACTTTCTCCAATGTATTCAGCCGCCGCGCCGTCGACACGCATGAATCACGCTCTTGCTGTGGTTTTCTGGCGATTTGCTTGGGAATCGCGCTATCGCTCTAGACTTCCTCGCGGTTCATGCAGAACGCACGGTTCAGCATCCCGCCTGCTCGACCTGGCCGCCTAAGCCCGCCTTCCAAGCCCGCCCGCTAGGCTCTGCCCACACGATCTACCCGTCTGGTTCGGCCACGTGTTTTTTGCTCCTAGCCCTTCTTCTTATGATTCCGTGCTCCATTCGTCTTCCTCCCCCCTCAATGCGTCCCCTCTTCCCCTGCTGCTTCAGGGGCTGCACCAGGTACACGCGGCAGGTAAGGAGGATATACTCCCAAGGGGGTACGATCGAAAACGAAGAGGGCGGGTATCGAGAATTTGGAATATACGTACTGAGTGGCACGCGAGCGGATGAGAGCGAACACTTCTGGTGAAATCGCCCGAGCCTTTGGAGACTCTTCGGGCGTTGTCAGAACTGGGTTTAGCGGGACCTGGTTTAGTGATGTGTACTGGGGGACGCCCACCCCGCCCCATTCCACTAACCGGAACTGCCATCACCCAACAAAAGCACCAGCTACGGCAGACCTGGTTTAGTGATTCTGGCCAATGTAGGGGCTCCAGGGCCCTACCACTGACCGGGTCCCCTTACCTGGGGTCCTGTAGGGGGCCACATGCGAGCCCTATCCCTACCCCCCACGATTTCTGAGGGGGAGGGTGGGGTTCACTTCGCTCGGGAGCTCCCGAACGGAGAGAAGCCCACCCTCCCCCTCAGGAATCGTGGGGGGTAGGGGTAGGGCTCGCACGTCGCCTCCTGTCCTGGCTGTGCCCGACCTCTGCTGCAGGCAGATCCCGGCAGCCAATGCGGCGCCCTGCGCCTCAAAGCCCGCGCTCGCAGGGGCGGGGCGGGGCGCGCCCGCCGACAGCACTACCAAAACCCGACCCCCGCCGCGGGCACGCGCCGCGCGCCGGCAGGCGCCGCACACCGCCGGCGTGGCGCGCCGACGCGAAAAGTCTCCGCGGCAGCTCACGGGAGCCTCCCGTGCCGTCTTGCCCTGCTGGCGCATGCGAGTCGGCGCTGGCCAGCGCAAGTCGACGCTGAGCGACGCAGAGTCGGCGCACATCGGCGCCACATCGGCGCACTCGCATCGGTGGCCCGACGCTCTCGCGCACGCGAACTCACTCTGAAGACGGAATCTCCAGGACATGCAAGGCTCCCATGAATTGCTACCGAACCCTGGCGTGTGGGCACTCTCGGGCGTTCATGACGGAAAGCATCGTTTAGCCAGTCCCTATCCCCACTGGCGTGGTCTTGGCCCCACTGGCCAATTGACCTCCATAGATGGGGATCTAGGTCTTTCCCTGGGCGGTTCGAAGGGCATATCCTCTACTGGGGTACCAAGACCATCGGGCTCGGGATGGGGATGGGGATATAGGGGCCGCAGGAGCGCGCGGCCGCAGGAGCGCGCTCAGGAGCGCGCGGCGCTCAGCGCGCTGCCGTCGCTTCGCGCCCCCGGTGGCGCCCGGGCACGCACACATGCGCAGAACTAGTCAGACAAAGGCTCACAAAAATCGTCCCCGTTATTTTGTTGACTACTCTTGAGCTTGCCTCCTGTAGAGAGACAGGCCCGACTTACATCAATCCGTCGCCCGGCCCCTCCCGTGGGGTCTCCACGCCTCGCCATCGCTCGGACGTCCATCCCACGTGTTTTATCTTCAGTTTCGTGCGTGGCTTTTTCGCCAAATGACCAAGGATGCTCCTCGATGGTCCTCGCCGACGAAAAAAAAATGCACACGTCCGAGCGATGCCAAGACGCTGGCCAGTTCCTCGAGCTGCGTCTGGCCGGGGCGGCGGGAACCCCCCCGGAAGCACGGCAGGGCTCGGGGCCGGAGGCCTCGCGGGGTGGCCGGCCCTCCTGCTGGCGAGGGGGCCAGGGAGTCGGAATCGGATCGGCTGCACCATACAGGGCAGTTTTTGATGCACAGGGTTTGTAAACATATAGGACTTGACATACACGAGTAATGTATGAATAAATGTCTGCATGAACTCATCGGTGTTCTGAATACTAAATCCCTGCATGTTTGATACATGATCCGCACGCGGAGCATGCATTAAACACGGCACTGTAGTGCTATGCAAGCAGCGGATCGGATCGTCGCCTCCTCGGAATCAAATCGGATCGGGCCAGCTGGCATCGGTCTCGAATCGGACCCACGGGATCGAGAGGAACCCTGCAGGTGGGCGGAGAGGCTGGAGGTTGCCTGCCGGCTGAGCAGCGGTGCCAGGCTGTTCCTGATTCGTGGAAGGCTCCCCCCTGGGCACTTCGCCATTCTGCCCCTGCCGGCTGGA